CTGGCCGACCGCTCGCGCTTGGCAGGGGAGAGGCATGCTGACTCGCTCTAGTTTTTTGGTTTCAAGGTTTGCGGGGGGAAGAGGGGCCCGCTGACCCGCTCGATTTTTCGCCGTCCTGCGTCTGGGATGGGCACCGCTGCATTCTCGCAGGCAGCGCTGCGCTGGGCGAAGGGAGAAAGACTGAATAGGCGGGGCGGACTCGGGCCCGTCATCGGCAAAGGGCAACTCATCGAATGACCGCCAGTGAGGAGTGGGCGAGGATGAGCAGAGGGTGAACGTGAAGGAGGAGGAGGAAGAAGGATGAGGAGGGAGAAGGAGGAGGAAGCGGGAGGATGAACAGGAGGAGAAGGAACGGAACACGAGGACAAGGGAAAGGAAAAGTTGCACGTCTCGGTTATAGTTGAGCCATGCAAGCTTCCAGGACCGCGCCACTTGCGATGGTTTCTCGTGTGCAGTATGTCAGCTGGAATCACCACCGCAAAGTGTGAAGACGGCCTGAGCGAAGCGTTGCCGAAGCCATGCCAAACCAGGGCCAAACCAAGCAACTTATAAGGACCTCTCAAGTGAAGCCAGGCGGTCAAGCCAGCCCCAAACCAGGCGCCAGACCAGGCATATTTTGAGGACGTCCCAGGTACAATCTCCCAAACCAGGATCCATCCACTCCCCCTTATTTCATGCCGAATTGCAGGAGTGGATGCACCCAGCCCCCCCCCCCCAACTAGCGGAAACCCGTTTAGAAGTTTATGGGTTTTCTACCAGCGCCGCCCCACACGCCAATGCCGATTCCCATGCCGCCAGTTTTTTGTAGCGCCGTCGTGTTACATGGGCATTCATGATCCCATGCGATTTCTTCGGTTTGCACACACCCACAAACGCCGTATGTTACTGACCCATTCAGTGTCGAAAGCAACGTGGCACGTCCCACCGTGTGTTGTGTTGGGACCGCATGGCGCCCACAACAAATTTTAACCAACCGTAGATTCCCTTGTTGATTTTTCGCTTTGCGAGTTTCTCTCAAGTTTTTGGGACCCAGCTTCCCGCCATGTTGGGCGCCTTTAGGGCTCTGTGGGCCCTCTTGGAACCCTCTTTGGGCCTCCTTTGGGTTTATGGATGGCCTCCTGGGGCCACACTGCGACAACACACAATGACTCTGGGAATGTCTTCGGGCCGTATCGTGGATGACGACGAACGATGACGACGACGCGACGAGAACGCCGTTGTCTGTGTGTGTCGGTTTGGCAGACCATCATCCCTGGGCAAGGGAAAGCCCGCAGACTCGCTCTGACTTCTTGTTTGAAGGTCGGTGGGGGGAAGAAGGGCCCGCTGACTCGCTCGACACTTCGCCGTCCTGCGTGAGCGACATTCATTCTGGGATGGGCGCCGCTGCATTCCCGCGGATAGCGTTGCGCTGGGCACTGGGGGCACGACTGAATGGGCGAGACGCGACGAAAACGCCGCCGGCTGCGTTCTCCCTTGGCAGGGGCGAGACCCGCGGACTCGGTTTGCCTCTGTTTGTGTGGGGCTGGCGGGAGGAAGCGGGGCCCGCTGACTCGCTCGAAGCTTCGCCTTCCTGCGTGGACGACGTTGCTTCTGGGATGGGCGCCGCTGCGTTCTCGCCGATCGAGCTGGCTTGGGCGGAGGGGGCAAGACTGAATGGGCGAGACGGACTCGGGCCCGTCGTCTGCAAAGGGCAACCCCTCGAACGACCGCCGTTGAGGAAGTGGACGAGGATGGAGAGGGCGAACGTGGAGGAAAACAGTGAATGGTGGCAATTGGCGCCTTAAGGTCTTGAAGGTCTGAGTTGTGGAGGTACGTTGGCACCCCTCCCTAGGGCCGTCTTCGATGGCCGAGGGACCGTAGGGAGAGCCTCGGCCCCCTCCAGCGCCGATGACGGCTTCATGGATTGGTGTGCAGATGGGAGTGGCACCCTGGCAGCCCCTAAAATGGTAAGTGCCGAGGGGTGGCGCCTATAATGGTCACCACCAGAGGGGCAGCGGTTCATGAGGGTCCTCGCCAGGGAGGGAGGGGAAGCCGATGTCCGGGATCGTCTGGCCGTCCGAGATGCGTCCTGGTCCTGAGGCGGGAATTCCTGAAAGGAGGGGGCAAAACAAACAACGGCATACACAGTTTCGACTCCGAACTGAGTTGGCCTTGCGCACTTGGTATCCCACGGGGACGGGACAACGAGTGCGCACGCTCACGCTTTGGTGCCAGTTTGTTGCGCCCATTGGGGCGGACGAGACGTGCCCCACCCAGGGGCAACGCAAGGTCCCCAGGGACAGCCGCGCAGCGCCGAGAGCAGCCCGAGGAGGGGGAGGCATCACCCGAATCAAAACTTAACGCTCCGCGACCGAGCGCCCTGATGTGAGGACGGAGATCCGGTGGCCAACAAATCCCTCATCAAGCAGGCTGCAGCGGAGGGCGGGATGTGTCGGCCCCCGCCCGGGCGCAAAACATTGGAACTTAACCCAAAGATCTCCCCTAGCGAGAGGTCTGGTTAGGCCACCTTCGTCGGACAGCCTTGCTCACACATTGTCGCGAGGCGGCCTCGAGGCACGGACAGGCCAGTGCATCCAAAATAGTGGACCCCAGACAGACGGTTCGGTGATTTATTTTCCACCGACAGGCCGATGAAGCCGACGATAGGCTAGCACAGCCAGACCACAAATAACAAAAAACGCCCGACAGAACGGACAGAGACGCATTTTTGTCCGATGACAGTCTCCTCGTCGGAAGGGGTATTTGGGCTTTTGCCAAAGCCTGTGGTTCATACTAGCTGGCCGCTCAATTCCCTCAAGCAGTGCAATGGGAGTCCTGAGAGCGGGAACCCTGGAAAAGGGGATCAAGAATCTGGGCGAGCATCGATTTCTCACACCAGCCCCCGCACCCCAGAGGATGGCGAAAGTGGGAGGTAGTGGTTGGTTGAGCCCCGTTGACAGCGGTGGGGTGCGCAGTAACAGTGGCAACATGTGCCGAGACCAGCATTTTCCGGAGGGGTTAAAACCGCCGCCCTGGGAAAGCAGGGAGGGGGAGATCCTGCCTTATGCTTTCAATAACGTGCGTTCAGCGTGTTTACAAAGACCCCTTAGCGAACCCAGGAGGGTGCCCGAACAACTGTCCTGGCAGGATAGCTGAAGATTGAGGCTGGTTTGTCGGAGCAGGCCCACCCCAGCCACCCCAGCCATCCCCCTACAGGGGAGGGGAGAGCAGAGAGGAAGAAGAGGCCAGGCGGAGAGGAAGAAGAGGGAAGGGGGAGGGGAAGGGAGCGAAGACACAGAAAGGAGGCCAGGCGGAGAGGAAGAAGAAGAAGAAAACGGAAGGGGGAGGGGAAGGGAGCGAAAAGGAGGGGGCGAAGGACGGGCAAGTCGGGTTGGGGACGGTAGGTGTTGACGTGCCCCAGCTTGTGGTTTACAGTCCTTGAGGTGTTCGGGTAAGGGGTGGGGAGCGGGAGCGACCACATGAGTGACATCACGGCGGCACATGTGACGCCGCGGCGGCACGGATCGAACCATCACCCGGGTAGGATTTGGAGAGAGGGAGTGACCGCATGAGTGACACCACGCTGGCACATGCGACGCCGTGGCGGCACGGGTCGACCCGTTACCTAATTGTGCACGCTGGAAAAATAGGGGGTGGCCAATGCGCCATAGTGCGGGGGTGAACTGACGTCGACAGGCACAATCAGCCAGCAGGGGAGCAAATCCCGTTCACGGCCCCGAGGAGGAAAACAGTGAATGGTGGCAATTGGCGCCTTAAGGTCTTGAAGGTCTGAGTTGTGGAGGTACGTTGGCACCCCTCCCTAGGGCCGTCTTCGATGGCCAAGAGACCGTAGGGAGAGCCTCGGCCCCCTCCAGCGCCAAAGACGGATTCATGGGTTGGTGTGCGGATGGGAGTGGGACCCCGGCAGCTTTTACGACTAGGCAAGCACAGCCAAACCAAAAATAACCAAAGAAGCACACGCGAAGGATGCGTTGTTTTGTTATTTCTGGGGCGGGCGAAGCGTGCCCCCCCCAGGGGCAACGCAAGGGCACCGAGGACAGCCGCGAACCGCTGAGAGCAGCCCGAGGAGGGGGAGGCATCCCCCGAATCAAGTGGCACGTGTGCCATGGCTCTTGCACAAAAAGGCAGGGGGAGGAGGAGGAGGAGGAGGAGGAGGAGGAGGAGGAGGACGAGGGAGACGACAAGTTGTATGTGTTGTTTGTAGTCGGGCCATGCCCATTTACAGGACCGGGCCAATTGCGACAATCTCTCTTGTGCAGGATGGCAGCTGGAATCGCCACCGCAAAGTTTGAAGACGGTTCGAGCGAACCGGTGCCGCAACCGTGCCAAACCAGAACCAAACAAAAACAATGTATGAGGACGCCTCAAGCGAAACTGGGCCCAACCCAGGTCAAAAAAGGGCCACACCAGGCAATGTGTGAGAACGTCTCAAGCGAAACTGGGCCCAAACTAGGGCCAACCCAAACACGCTTCGAGGACGTCTCAAGCTAAACTGGGCCCAAGCCAGGCCAAACCAGTGCCAAGCCAGGCAACTTTTCGGGACGTTTCAAGCGGGTCCAAACCAGGGGACACCAACGCCAAACATGAGAAATGCTGGGGACGTCTCAGGCGAAACCAGGCCCACGTTAGGCCAAACCGTTGGCCTAACTAGGCAAGTTCTGAGGACGTTTCATGCGGGGCGCGCGGCCAGACAAGGCCAAACCAGCGGCCAAACCAGGCAGATTTTGAGAACGTCCCGGGCTGAATCGCCCAAACCAGGATCAAGGAGTGGATGGCCCCAGGGCCCCCCCTGCAGGTAGGAACCCTTAGAATTTAATGGGGGTCTTTGGACCGCGCGCCCGGTGATGCTGCCGGGGGAGGGCGCGGAAACTTTCATGTGTCTTGGGGATGTTGTTCGGGCTTTGGCGTGGCGTTTGGAGAAATACTTCCGAGTCTGCGGGGGGGTGAATCGGCCAGTGGGTATGGGGATTGTTTAAAAGATGCTCATAGAGAGAGAGAGAGAGAGAGTACGTACCATGTTGTTTCACCGCTGCCGCCACGCACAGCGACTGCCCATGAAGGAACGTTGCGGCCCCTTCACTCGGCTTTTGTGACGGGTGGAGTGGAGGCTCGCCGCAGCAGCCCTTGCTCAACCACGGCGACGAGCCGAGGGGCACCACAATACGATCTGTTTTTGTTTCGCGTCAGGGCTGAACTTCAGGCACCTCGGGCCCCCGCCCCCTGCACTTCAGGGAGGGGCCATAGAGCAGTGCTGAAGGTGCAGCGATCCCTACTCGATAACTGCAGCATGCGGGCGGGCAGAGCATGCTCAGTTGCGCTGGCGCGCATATCCGCCACCGCACCTGGGGAAACAGCGAGACAGTGCCGTGGCTATGCGTGCAGGTTGCTTTGTAGCCTGGGGGTCTCTTGAAGGCCTCTTGGACTCTGGGGGGCGTCTTGGATACCTCTCGGGGCCTGTGCCGGCGATTGCAATAAGTGCGGTTACGCCAGGGTGCGGTTTGCGAGTTGCTTTGTGGCGGCCTTTCCGGGGCCTTTGTGAGAGACAATGTCATAATTGTCGTCGTTTCGAGCGACATTGTCATTCTCGATGTGTGCTCCACTGTGCTAGAAGGAGCGACAGTGTCATGCGATTCGGTCGCATTGCGTGACTGTGTCGTCGGCTTCCCGGGGGCGGGAGGGGCCGATATGCCGGGAGGCAAACCGCACCCATGGTAGTCGCCGACTGTGGTCCTGTTGTGGATCTTGGGGAGCCATGCAGGGGGGGCCGTGGGACTGTCAGGGAGGGGAGTATTCAGGCACTTTGGGGGTAATGTTTGGACCAGTCGTTGGCCGAGCTTGAGCCGTCGTGAGAAGACCCTCGCCCGTCTCGGGACCGCTGATCGTCTGGCAGCGTTCTGGGCTAAGGAGGCCATCCTAGGGCCCCTGGGAGCCATCTGCGCTGCTGCTGAGAAGCCGCCTAGGACGGCTCAGAGACCGCCTGTCGGCAGGGAGGATTACGACAGGTTCGCGACCCCGTCGTGGCGACGGCGACGCCGGCGCCGCTGCGCAAGGTTAAGGGCCATCGACGCCTGGAGCAGGCCAATTTCGCACGATCTCCGCTGTCGGACATTGGCCTGGAGACAAACACTGGCATAAACATGTGTCAGCCAGCATGGACCCCTAACTGTGTGTATAGGGGAACGCATGTTGTGCAATAGTTAGTGTGCAATACGCGGTGCGCACTATGTGGTGCAAGGTGTGCCGTGTGCAAAAAATGTGGTGCAGTCGGTGGAATTCACACATTTTCGCAGTGAGTTGTCAACTCCACTGTTCGCGCAATCGCCCCAAATACCCACCCGCAACTTGGTTTGCAAAACCCATGCGGCGGCGATTGCACTGAGTGCTTGGCGTTGGTTGGCGCATCTCTGCGGCCGCGCATGCTTACGCGCGCAGCGGCCACCCAGTTCGGCGCGACCGACGCGGCCGAGGTGGCGCTCACCGCTGGGCACATCCCAGCGGGCACCTCAGCGCGAAACGGCGATTGGGGCAGGCGCGGTATCATGGCAATGTCAACAACGGTAGACACGATGTTGACAGTAGCGATGCTGGTGACGACGATGACAACGACGACGGCACTGCCAGTGACGGCGCCTACGGTGATCTCGCCGACGACGATGACGGCGCCGTCTGGTCGGTGATCGATCGAATTTGTGGGCAGAGCTCGAGATGCGCGCGTGGCCGATGGGCGACAGTGGCCCGCGCGGCGTTATTTGACGCGGGTCGTGCGCCCCCCCCAGCACGGGACGTCGCCTGAGCTGTGGCCAGGAATGATGATTTCAGATTAATTGTGTCGGGATGATAGTGATTTCTATTATCCGCCGACCTCTGGGCTCCAGACTGGCCTTCATCCGGTTCGAACATTGACCATGGTTCGTAATCTCCCGAACGTGATAGTTTTGAAATGTTGATGTCCGGGGAAATCGCCACTTCGGGCCCATGATTCCGGAACGATAACAATGGGGCGGGGGGGGGGCGCTTGAGAAGATGGTCTTCACTGGGAGCGACCGTGTTTCACTTTGCCGCAATATTTGCTCACGGGCCCACGGTTCTGGGGCGATACTCACGCAGGGGGGGGGCGACGCACCCGCGGGGCACCGGTCCACGGGGAGGCATTGCCTCAAGACAAGTACGTTCTTCATTTCTTGATAATGAGCCACGGTCGCGAGGATCTCGCAGGTGTCCTCGATTAATGATAAGCGAATGCGCGCGAGGTGTTCGTCGCAGAGGATGAGGGGGGAAGCGTTGCCGGCCTGGCTGCGACGGCGCGAGGTCGCGCTTAGGATGCGCTACGAGGCAGAATTATACGCGAATAGCAATTCGAAGAGAGGGGCGGTTTAATCCGAGAAGGGGGGGGCGGGTAGATCGCATTTTTTGAGACAGGAGGGGCGCGCTCGGCGCGCTCCTATCGGCGCAAGCTGCGCGGTGCAATGCTTGTTTTCCCATGAGTTGACGAATTCCACGCTCTCGCAAACATATCACTCGCCTTCCCCCTGGGGGGTAGATCCGAGCGTTCTTCGAGAGTGGGGTATTCGCATGCGATCACAGCGAGTTGCCAGATCCACTGCCCGCGCACCGCCCCGCCCGCTGGCCCGCAATTTTGTTCGCCAAACCCACGCGGTGGCGATTGCGATGCGTGCTTGGCGTTGCCTGGCGCATTTCTGCCGCCGCGCAAGCTTGCGCGTGCTCGCGCGCAGCGGTCAGCAAGCGCGGCGCGACCGACGCGGCCGCGGCGGCGCTGACCGCCCGGCACTTCCCCGCGGGCACTGCAGCGCGAATCGGCGACGCGGGCGCGCGCGGTAACATCGCGACGCCGTCGGCGGCAGGCGGGGCTATGGGAGCGGCGGCGACGGTGGCAACCCCGCCGACGACGATGACGACATCCTCGCGTCAGCGATGCAGGTCTTTGATGGAATTCGACATGCGCGCGCAGCCGACGCGCGCGAGTGGCCCGCGCGGCGTTATCTGGCGCCGATAGCGCCCTCCACCCCTCCCCCGCCGCGCGCGCGCTCGCATGCATGAGTTCGACGCGCGGCGCGAGAGGCCCGCTCGGTAGAATTTGATGCACACGTTGGAAAACCATTGTATTTCTTGAGATACCGCTAGACCGCGAGCGCAGGATCATTGAATCGCTTCGCTCATTCCGCCAGCCAATAAGGAATTATGGATTCTTGCTTCTGGGTGCTCTCTCGGGAGGCTTCTCGGCGGCCGCGGGGGGGGTCTTGAACGCGTGGCGGGGCGCCTGGCAGCGTTTTTATTGGACTCCTTCGGGATGCTTCTTGGTGGCCTCTTGGGGACTCTTAAACGCGTCGGGTCGTCGGCGCTAGCTTGCGTGCCCGGGGCGGCATTCGCAGGGCCTCCTGGGGCCGCCTGGGGGCCTTGGGCCTCTCGGGGACTCTCGGCGGCTTCTGAGGGCCGAGGGCTCGACTCGTTGTTTAGCGCCCCCCCCCCCCCCCTGGGACCCTTCTTGGGGCGTTCTTGGGGCCTTATTGGGCCGTCTTGGAGGCCTCTCGGGCCGCCCCGGGGACTTCTCGGGCCGTCTTGGGGCCCTCGCATGGGCTTCCCGGGCCCTCTCGGGGCGGTCTTGAGGGTCTCTTTGTCTGTCTTGGGGCGTCGCGAAGCCGAAGAGGTGAAAGCGCCGAAATTTTTGCAACGCCGAAGGAACAGCAATGAATGTTGTTTCTTGGGGCTTTCTTGAGAGTGCTCTTGGAGGTATCTTGGGTCATCTTGGGCGTCCTGGAGCGATCTCGTGGCATCTCGGAGCTCTCTTGCATCCTCTTGAGGGGCCTTTGGCGGCCTCCTGGCATTCCTGGGGGCTCTCTGGACGGCCTCCAGGGCGGCGTCCAAGTGGGCGGCCATCTCTGACCCGGGGCGCCCAGGACCTGCCCGGGGCATTTTTCGCGCTGGGCGCCCCCCCGAGGGCCGCCCCGCCCGACGGCGCGCGCTTCGTTTTTTGTTCCTGTTTGCAGCGGGTTCTCGCGGCAGCGCGCGCGCAAAGGCGTTCGAGCGATTGCGACGCGCGCGCGAGAGGCCCGTTCGGGCGCAGATGGTGAGATGTTCCTTTTTCGCTGAAAATGCGCATGCGCGCGAGCGCAGGCTGCTTTGCAAATTCACGTTATAGAACTTATTGCGGCGATGTGCTTTCGGGGCACTCGATGCTGAAATCTTAGCGACGCAATGGGTTGTTCTGAGAGACTTCGGCGCGACGACGCGCGCGCGTGCGCGTCGCCATTGTTGGCGTGGGATCTGGGGGAACTAATGAGTTGTAGCGCACGAATGCGCGCTCGTAATTTCTGCTTTGCACGGGGGGCGCGGTGCGGGGGGGGGGGGGGGGGGGGGAGATCTGGCTCGGGGCCTAATCCTTGTCCGAGAGAATTCGGTCGCGGGGCCCGCGGTTGCGAACTCCCTTGCTCGCGCAAACATCCCGCCCGCCTTCCCGCAAGTGGCTTGCCAAACCTACGCGCGGCGGCGATTGCGATGAGTGCTTGGCGCTGACTGGCGCAGCTGCGCGGCCGCGCTAGCCCGCGCATGCTCGCGCGCGCAGCGGTCAGCTAGCGCGGCGCGACCGACGCGGCCGCGACGGCGCTGGCCGTTGGGTATTCCACAGCGGGCACATCTGCGCGAGTCGGCAACTTGGGCCGGCGCGGCATCGCGGCCATGTCGACATCAGTATACGCGACTATGCGAGCGGCGACAACGGCGACGGCGCAGACATTTATCGCGCCGACGAGGATGAAGGCGCCTCACGACGAAGGTTCTGGAAGGAGCTCGGCACGCGCGCGCGGCCGACGCGCGAGAGCGGCCCGCGCGGCATTCTCCGACGCAGATCGCGCCGCCCAGCGCGCGCGCGCAAGGGCGTTTGAAAGATGCCGACACGCGGCGCGAAAGGCCCGCTTGGCACAATTTAGTGAAAAGGGGAAGAACTCTGGTTCCCATTAAATTTTTCAGGAGCGCAATCGCGTTTTTGTCGCGGGAAACATAGACGTTTCAAATCCATGCGTTGTTTTTTGTTTTCGGGGCACTCGACTTTGACATTCGAAGGATTCCGGCGCGCGCGCGCGACGACGCGCGCGAGTGTACTTCGCCATTCTTTTGCATGTGATTCTCGCGAAAGCGCGCGCGCAAGGGCGCTCGAACGATCTGGGCGCGCGCGCGCGAGAGCCCGATTTGGTAGCATATAGCATGTCATGGAAACGCGACATCAATACTATTTTCTTATGAATTCGCAAGAGCGCGCGCGCAAATTGATTGGAAAAGTCTGTGCTG